ACATAACTGGTATGTATATTGAACATCAAACAGGCTGCTCTGTTCCATTCCCACCTAGCAATTCACACATGAATGTCATACATTTTGAGCATTTTCAAACGTAGTAATTGGGATTAAATCATATCTTTATTTACTTTATGTTTTTTTATGAAGCAGATTTGATTAAAATGTAAAAATTTTGAATCTCTCACAAAGTCTTGTAATGATGGTGCAGCATTTATATTGCGAAAGAATATACTTTTAGTGGTTTCATAGTCTGTAATGTTAACTCATAAATATTCTATATTTGAGTAAAATCAAGTTTAATTGTTAAAGTGGTTTTGAAATTGAGTACAAGTTAGATTGATTGATTGTCAAGTACGATGTAGATTTAAATTGTGATTTTGAAATATAACTCGTCATGAATGACCCATGATAAAAGCTAGTTAATTGCTTATTTCCAATTGGGCTGACCTGAATGGAAGTAAGGCTCTCATTAAAGCCTTTTTACTCATTTATTAAAAACAATTTTAGGAGCAGTGGTGTCAAATGGGTCCAATTGCTTTCACCAAGGTAGCAATGCGACTGATATAGGGGGGGGGATCATATCATTTTAACAGGGTTTTCTTTCCCTCCTGTTTCTTCTATTCTTTCTTTCTCCCTTGTTCCCATTTAATGAGTGAGGCATGTCTCTTGTAGCTGACCATTGGTAATTAATATGGTGTTGAAGTGATGAAATGTCAGAGTTTATATGATATCATGAATTGAATATCTTGCAACATCATACGAAGCAGTCATCAACATGTGATATAAAAGTTCTGGAGTTAAAGACCTTTATGGTGTGTACAGTCATATTATTTACTCATTTTGTTCAGCATGTATTTTTCAAGATCTTTTGTATGTTAGGGATACCTTGGCGGCACAAGGTGTCTACCCAATGGGCCATAATATTACATTAGCCACACTTCAACGATTCTGCAGCATATTAGACCCCAGCAACGTGTCATCAACACATTCTACGATGTGGAGAGCTGACACAGTTTTTAATTGCATTACCCAGATTCTTAATTACAGGCAGCCTCCGTGTCATTGCATATGTAGTCTCTAGGGCAGGGACTACCTAGAGGGAAAGGAAGAGGGAAAGAGAAAGAGATGAAAGAAGAGAGATGGCAAGAGAGAGAGAGGGAAAGAGAGAGATAGAGAGAGAGAGAGAGAGAGAGAGAGAGAGAGAGAGAGAGAGAGAGAGTGTGTGAGTGAGGGGGGGGGGGGTCAAGCATAGGGGGCAGGCAGAGAGAGCCTGGGAGAGGAAAAGGGAGAGAGACAGAGATGGAGATGGACAAAGAGACAAAGACAAAGCGAGAGTCTCAGAAAGATAGAGAGAGAAGGGGGGGGGGGGAAGTTGTTTAATACAAATATATACATGTAGTTGAAGAAGTCTTATTAATACCTGGCTTTACAAATAGAGAACAAATGAAAGAAGAGAGAGAGAGAGAGAGAGAGAGAGAGAGAAAGAGAGAATTGTGAGAGAGAGAGAGGGGGGAAACCCCAGATTGTAACAGAGACATATGTAAGGGCAAGGATGCTCGATGTCAACCACACCTCTTCGAAAAACTAATTACTCTTTTTCAAAAATAAGAGGGATAAGTGTCAAAGAGACACTTATCCGCCACAAAGCATTGATGGGACGTTTCTTTTGGGGCACTTATCCCAAGTAATCGTCATTCTTCTGGGAGTGTGATCGAGGTCAATGTGTGGTGGTGATACGTTTGTAGATGATTAGTGACTGTTAACGGTCATGGCAATGCCCAAGGACATCTCAAATGTAAAGGAGTAACAGTGTCGTTATTCAGGATTTATGTACAAGAAATGACTAGAATGACTTTTTACAGCCTTTTTACATTGATAATTGATAAGATTCATACCTCCTATATGTCAGTTGCGGGTCATGATGGTCATAGCTAGGAAGTTATATCATTACTTCTGATAAAATACTGATGATGATAAGAATCCAGTCATTAATGAAATCTACTTATCCTGAATTGCATTCAAGCAAAACCAAAATAGTTATGTGTATTGTGTCTTAAAAGACACTTTCAGTCAATTATGAAATCTATTTTTCCTGAATTGTATTACTGAATATTTTTCCCATTCAAGCAAGGAAAGAAAAAATCATTTCCTATTTTGCATTGCATTGATTTTTGTGGACAGACACTTAATGAGATGTAGTTGGTTATCTGTTTGCGTCTGTTGGCCGATATGAAAAATCTGTGATCAAATATTAGCTCTCTCTTTCTCATTCGTGCTTCTCCTTCATGGGTCACACAGCTATGATATGCTATTGATTTTTCCATGATAGTGCTTGATGACGTCCAGAAAACGGCAAGGCCAGCCCTCCAATTGAGGCAATATTGTTATGACGATTAGAGCGGTACGACCCTCCCTTCCCCTCCACAGCACTTGTGTTATTAAAAGAGGGGAGAGCAAGATGACACAGACCATAAAAGCATCTAGAGCATGCTATCACATCTCACCCCTATATGAGCTGCAAGCACGAGTGCATCTATGCTGGGAGTAGTCACTGAGAAGGGATCACCACACTATCTCTTTGCATACACTGTTGCATCGCTACACAGCTATCTCGACATCATCATCGGTTGGTCGGTGTGTGGAGGAATAAACGAGCATCTCGTTGGATTCGGTGATGAAGATGAGAGCATCACTCGCTAATAGAGAAAATCACTCCCTCTCTCATCGCGTAGAGAGTGCGCTGGCTGTTTAGCGGTGGCGTAAGAGACTGGTTGTTTGGCGTTTAGGCGAGTAAGCTGTTGATACGTGCTTATTACAAGAGAGTGTTGATACAGCCTAGTGTGGCTCTCGCTATGGAGTGATGAAAACTGTGAGTAGGTGATAGCAGGTTGCAAGACCTTCTTGTTTTATCACAATATTGGAAGATTGGGTTGCTTAGGATCGCATCCACCATTCCTAGAATCATCACGATCAGCGACTGAAGCAATCGTTAACCATTGTTTAAAGAGTGGAGCAATGATCATGGCTACCATTTTGAACCCTATATCGGAGATCGTTCGTTTCACGGAAAATAATCATGATGCATTTCGACAAACTTATCAGCAGGGCAAATCTGTTTATCAGGAATGGACAAAATAACGACCTTTTGCTCTCACTGTGATAATCTTCAATTGTGAATAATGGTTTTTGTTCTTGCACAATATCAGCGCTGAATTTTTGCTGCAGATATATTCACTAGAATTATTCATCACTTTTGTCGACCGTCTTCTCACAAGGGAGATATTTGAACTGACTGTATGGCACAGTTTTCCTACTTGTGAGTTTGAAAATTGCGGCAATAAAACAAGAGGAGATACACTTTTGTGCAGCTGCTCTAATTATAATAATTTTCATGAGGATCTTTCTCATCGAGACTCCAATGCTGAATTGCTAATTGATGAATCTTTTGTCTGCTTGTTGAAGACAGCAATTATTGTGCGGAACTTTATGAACATCCATTTTGATTTGGGAAGGCATAAAACAAATTTTGTGCAAAACAGGTATTGTGTCTTCTTTTCCATCTGTATTTTTCTGCATTTCAGAGATTAAAGAGGAGGATGTTTGTCAATTTAAACCAAATGACATAATTTATTTAATGATATATCAAATTTACAGTGACATAGAGAGGTATTTTTTGTATTTTGAACCAGAATTCTCATTTTGAATGACATGAAGCACAATTTTCAGTCATTATATTTTATTCTGTTTATTTGGAAGTGAATCCCTAGACAATATTTTGTTGATTAAAAAATTACCCTCATTAGACATTGCCCCAGACATTAAGGCTATTTTAGATATGAAGCCGTAAAACACATTAAAAAAAAATGTCATTAAAACGAATGGCAACTGCACTCAAGAAATGTGGGCATTCACTGAGCTCTGTAATAAAAGATAGAGAAATGTTAAGTAAACTTACAACTATGTAATTTATTTTAAAACGCCACATTTTACCTCTGCATATCAAATGTAATTAGATGCTATTATAGAAGTAAATTATTAATATGAATTCACAATATTCTGTTGATGCTCATATTAAGAATATGTTCTTTCAATACATGACACTGCCGATGTATTACATGTATGCAGTAGCATTACAAATAGAATTTAAAATACTGTTTGGAATATTTTTCTTTAAATTCTCTCTTTGAATAAACAGCCACTGATAATCTTCTTTGATGAATATCAAGATGTAATGGTGTACATGTTTCTTTATCTCTTTTACTGTATTTATATATTTGTATTTTCTTGCCTTTTGTCCAATTTGAATGAGGTACTTTGTATTTATTAAGAAAGATATTTACGGAAATCTTTACTTTTCAATAGTGGTCACATCAATTTTAAGGGAATTAATTGCAATTCAATGTTTTCTTACAGTTTGGGAAAATATTTAAGAAAATATTTAGGAAAAACCTTGAAGCTGCAAGTGAAGATTTCTGTAACTGAATTCTATCTCCCATGTTAATGAGAGCTCATTTAATCAGATATTTGAAAAAATATTTTGTAGTCTTTCAATTATGATTTGTTTTCCCAACTTGTTTTCAAATGATTTTCTTCAACAAAACAAAGCAGTCAGTACATCATAAAGTAACATTAATTAATTAATGACATTTCAGCAGGTGGATATCATGAAGACAGACTGAGACTGAAGTGAAGCATGAATATGTAGAAATCTCTTAGTACTGAAGGAAACTACTGTCATAAATATGAGAGGGACTTCAAAATATTTTTGCACCTATTTTTTTTACATGCAATTAACATTTTTGTTGTCAATTTCGCACTTGAAAACTCACAAAGTGTAATTACAATTTCAAGGTTTTTCCATCTTTTCACTTCATGCATATCTTGCAAGAGAGCTATCAAAATAAAATAAAATACACAAATTAAGTGTAAGATATCTTTTATTAAATTTATTATCTAAAAATGATTGTCTTTTCTTTTTGTTCTATTTGATACAGAAAAAGACTTGAAAGGAAGGCATTTTAAACCAAATCTTACTGGACTCATATTAAAACCAGTTGGCTTTTGTGAGGTGTATTTGTGAGGACGCGGCTGTTTAAGTCATCTTGCTCATAAAGACTGATTGGAATGAGGTGAGTGATAGGGTTGAGTAATTACTTAGACCTTCTCTTATTATTAAACCCGACCGGTGCCCCTGAGAAAATATTGATGAGTAATGAATCCGAGGAACAGATTTTTTGTGGTTAGTCCCACACATTGACCGCGGTGCTACATGGCGGTGCGAGAAAAAAGGTCGGATGAAATATAATGAAACTTGCGGTTTGTGTCTTTATGAGATGCAGTTAGCTGGCTGGATTACACGTACCCTACTTTCTATGTCAAGCTTTACTCTTCACTCTGATGGATTACATGTTGCATTATATTCCTAAGAACAGGTTGCGCATGATATCCCGCTTCTACGTTAATCTTGACGCTACCATGTGGTGTAGTAATTGTTGTTAGGTATGACAAAAAGATAGGTAACTTGTAAGCCATTGTCACTGTAGAATTTCCCTTCTTTATTTTAGTGCATACTTGATAGGTTTTTTTTTTAAAGCTTTATTTTAAACCCCCTTCTCTGTAGACCTTAAGCTTGTAAAAACACATGAAAGACATTAATTATCTATGAGCCATGTTCCCTAAAAATGCAACTTAATTACCAGAAGATTACCCTGAAGCTGCCTAGTAAGTTCCAATTTACTTTAAAGCCTATCAATCTGCACTAGTTTGGAGGGATTAGACCTCCCTGCATGGTCACTGCCAGATGGTTATTTAATCAAATCAGCTCTCAATTAACAGAAGAAAAAGGGGATCATGGGGGACCAACGGGTACCGCTTAGGCATTGTTTGCTATTTAGAGGGCGCAAGTAGCTACAAGTAGTGCAGTCCCACTTTAAAACATTCTGATAAAACACATCAATCTTCCTCTTCTTGGGATAAATCTGAATTGACTTTCATCTGCTGAGAGCCAAACAGTCATAGTAAAACCCTTCTTTGAGTTTTAACTTGAAACAAATTTCCAGAACCAATATCTCATAATATCTTTAGACCTGATTAGAGCCAGAGGAGCAATCATTCTTCATTGATTTTAGAACAGTATTAACACCCTTTTGGCTTTCAAAATATACCATCTTAAACTTGAAGAATATATTTTTGAGCTACTTTCTCGTTAAGATATGAAATCATTTTATCTGCTTAGATCCAGAAGGGCAAACATCCTTATTTTAGAACAGCATTAACACCCTTCTGGCTTTCAACATACCTTCTTACTTAATCTTGAAGAAGAAACAAAATCAGAGCTAATATCTCATGAAGATATGACATCATTTCATCTGCTTAGATCCAGAAGGGCGTTGGCTCGTATCATATTAAACACCGAATTACAACCCTCTTAATTTCAACTGACTATTTGATTTTCAAATTGAAGGGATTTTAATCAGAGTGAGTCTCTTGTGAAATGGTGAAATCATTTCAACTTGAGACCAGGAGGGCATTTAATTTTATCATCTAAAATAAAATAAACACCATTTTGCCTCCAACAGATCGTTTGAATTTGAATTGAAGCACAAATTGAATAATTGTCAGAGCTGTTATCTAGTGAAGATGTGAAGATATTTCATCTGCTAATAATAGCCAGAAGGGGAATTCAACTTAACCATTTAAAATTGAATAAACACAACTCTTCCTCTCAACAGATCATTTGAAATTAAATTGAAGTAAAAACTAAACAATTGTCAGAGCTGATATCTAGTGAAGATGTGAACATATTTCATCTGTTGATTGCCAGAAGGGCATTAATACTTTTCAGTTATAACACCCTTCTGGCTCTAGACAGACATTTGTTTGTTCACCTCATCTGGATTACGGCGTTAATTATCAGCATTAGGGATAATGGATCTTTGTTGGTATAATGGTATGTGAGTCTTCCTCTGGGATATGTATATGTACGTAGATAGGTAGAGGGTTGATTGTTAAAGGGATCGTTTAACAATGTTAAATCTGAGATGCGTGGCCCTACATGTTATCAGTATCTGCGACATAGTTTAATATTGAAGCCCTAAACAAATTTTGCTTCTAAATGATCATGAAGAGCCTCAAAGAAGTAAAATTCTTTGAGTGACCGGTTTTTATACCACACTAATTTCCCCAATAGACTTTAGAGCTATAAAAACCGTTAGGAAAATGTTTTTTTGAAACCAATCATAAATACCTTCATAATCAGACAGGTGATCAGTTTGTAAAAGTCATGGGATTCATGGCTGACCTAAATGTCTATAATTATGATTGCAGCATGAGCCAAATCCAGAATTTTGTTTAGAATCTGAGATAAAGATACCCAATCCCTTTAAAGCTATACAACTGATACAGAGGCAAGACAAGAGCACCCTCCCTCCAACAGATTAACTACAACTTTTTTAGTATGAAAAAAAAAACACATGTGAATTATGGATATCTATTTGCTTTTGATTTAGGAAGTTCTTTTATTTGAACAGAATTCACTCATCATTTGTTAACTTTATTGAAAGCAATCTAAAGTAGACAGAGGCAAACTATTCTACCCACTTCTGCACCTACGTTAGACCAAAAATTTGATGCAATATTCATTGCGCAACCTCAGAACGGCATTGTGGCGGAGACTATAAACCAGACTGAATTATTAACTCCTACACTTTCCATGACAACTCGTTCCTCGACAAACGCATTACCAAACCCGCAATGACCAAGTGGGTACTCTGTCGCCATGACGCACGTTGTCGAGGCTTTGAGGTAAAAAGGAAGATGGCAGATAGATGCTCTCACCGGAGGAGTGACCTTTAACCTCTGAAGACTTCTTGTCAAGTTTAAATCAATATATCTAACGTGGACTGCTCAATCTTTACAACGTCAAGAGCCTATGTATCATGTGGAAGACAAAACTAGTCTTGTATTAGTGAACAAATAAAGTTGTTGTTGTTGTTTGGTATTATCGGTGTTTCATTTTTTTTAAAGAATATTTATAATATATTAAGATGGTACCATGGATGATTTATATGTACTCTTAAAATCTTGAAGAAGATTTTCCTTCTCAAATGATTGCATAGAAACTAAATGCAAATATGATATCAACTGTAGTCCGACACCTTTGAATCTGTGTTTGGAAATATCCTCTCAAACCTCATCGAAAATACCTCTTGGAAACTGAATTACCAAAATTACAGCATAGGTTTTACCTTTCAATTTGTATGCTGTAGGGTTGTTACACAGTGTTTCTATAACCGTGTGCAACATTGCTGACTCAAACACTTACTTTGTTTGTCTAAATTGTGTGGATAAATAAATAAATATGGAATTGCTTTACTTCTTCGATCATGCCGCTATCATATTTCAAATCTTGCCTGTGGCAAATTCGATTGTCCCAACCAAATGGAAATTGTTTAGTATCAAATTCTTTGTACTGAAAAGTGAGTACTTTTGAAGAAAAATAAAAGAATTGTTAACTCTTATGGTATCCCAAGGGTATTCTTAATATCTAAAAAATATAAGTTATCTGCTGACAATGAGTAGGTCATTAAATCAATGTAATTGTAAAGTATAAGAGTTGACGACTATTTGGCTTTCAACAGAAGATGAGATACTAAAAGTAATTTTTTGAATAAAATTGAATATTACTTACAGGATCTTTCTTCATTTAAATTCAAACTGTAAGATAATGAGAAACAGAATGTAAAGGGCAAAGAACAAACTCCTTTTCATTCATTTAATAAAATTCTCTAATTGAAATTTAGTGGATAGAATGTTTTTGGTATCATTATAATTTTCGAATTAACATTAAATGTCCTTCTCTTGTGTGCCCATTATTTTGTCATTCAAGCCATAGTAGGGTGATGCTGGTGCTTCTGAAGTAATCCTTTTTGCCCTTCAGGTAAAATCTTAAACAAGGAAACTAGAAAACCTCCTGCCACAGCCAGGTATTTTCTCTTATTCTCAACAACCAACAATTATGTAGAAATATGAAAATGCTACAAACAAAATTTAATGGAAAAGCTGCAGTAAGAAAGAATGCATAGTCTTGCATGCATGCATTATTTTTTTCCTCTCTGTTTAATGATACCAAGGCTGTCCCTGGGTTTTCTCAAATTGGTTATTGGCACTTTGCTAGCAAGAACTGCCATAAATATTCTAAGAGATGGAATTTTATGTCCCTGCTCTCAAAATAACTCATGTGTCTATTCAGCGATCATGGCTCTCATACATTATATGGATGTTCTGAGTGGTTACATGGTAGCTAAGCTCAGCTAAGCTCAGCTTAGGATTATCTTATCCTCACCATTCTTGTGGCTAAAGTAATTGATTTCTACCATTTTGTGTTTGGCCTTGATAGAGAAAATTGTTGCATATTATTGCCTTGTTCTTAGCAAAACTTTGTGTTATTGTTACTATATCCATCATTTGATAGTTAAGTTAGTTAAACTATTTGTATTTCTCTTTGTATTTGCATTTGTACTTCTATTTGTATTTTTATTAAAGAAAATGGCAGTTATGGATTTGGTCAAGTTGTATTCATGGAGAGTGTTGTAATACATCATACTGTAGCTCACTGTTGTGACTCACTGATCACCTCAAATTGAATACGAAGTAAAAATAAGGCCAAACGACCTAGTTTTTTAATTACAATCAATTGTAACTCAGAGGCCGCACACAAGAGGTTTATAATCATAAAAGTATTTATGGTTGTCAGTACATCTTCCCTAGTATGGTGCTTTTATGAAGAGGAAATATCTGTGTTACCATGCAATTATCTGTTAGCATTTGTCCTCGGTTATCCAATGGAGATAACGTGAGAGAGGCAGACACAGATATAAATGGCTCTAGCTGCGCGACATCTATTTTGAGTACTCTATTTGGGTGAATTATAAATGATACGGTGGTGGTGAATATGATTATCTAAATTCTATATTCAGCCGAGTCAGGTTGGTTTTGTGCTATCGAGTCAGACCTGTAGAACTTGGCCTGGCATACTGATTGCTATTAGGATACATCTATCAAATACAAATTTGATAAATGAAGATGTGTTTTGTTGTTGTTGTTGACTTTATTATCTCTTTGGAGCTTG